AAAAAAAATTAATGTTTATTTTTTCATCTAAAACCCATTTGTCCAACAAAAATAAAATTAACCACATAAAAAATTGAAAAATTACAAAAAACCCCCAAGATTACAGTCTATGTAACTTACCCCCAACCTAACTTTTCCACTCACTTTTTCCCCCAAAATATACCAAATACCCTCCAACAAAAAATAAAGCAAAAAAATGTCTAAACTATCGTCCATTACTTTTACCTTACCTACGCTTCTCTCCTCTATCCCACCAAACTAGGGGCTCCAGTTAAGTGCGGTTCAGCAATAGGGTTTCGGCAATGTGTAAAGTGCGGTCCGGTAGTAGGGCTCAGACTAGGGGCTCCGGCTAAGTGCGGTTCGGCAGTAGGGCTCCGGCACTGTGTAAAGTGCGGTCCGGCAGTAGGGCTCTGACACTGTATAAAGTGCGGTCAAGCAGTAGGGCTTCGATACGGCGCAGTTCGGTAGTTTCAAACGGCAGGCCGACAGTAGGCTGTAGATGTTACTGGATTCCAGGGCTCCGATACCTTATAAAGGGCTATCCGACAGTACTCAGTTTCTGTCCGGTAGTTGTCTTAGAGTGGTCTGGCACTTGTGCGCTGCGGCAATGTGCTACTTAGTCCAAAAGTCAACAACAAATCTGACCAAAATGATTTCTGTGTACGGGAAGGGCATTTCCATCTAAAAACAAAGATTTTTTCCCTTGGGGGTTATTTGCATAGAAAGCTTGTTTTGGGGAAAAAGTGAGAGAAAAAGTTAAGTTGGGGGTAAGTTGCATAGAATGTGTGGTCTTTGAGGTTTTTTGTAATTTTCCCTAAAAAATTAAAAGAAACTGGAAATAAAATATTAAAAATTTATTTAAAAAATAAAAACAAAGAACATTAATGATTTCAAATATATGAAATAAATTCACATAAGATAGAAAGCTACATATTTTGTATCATACATTCAATCACTAACTAATAGAAAAATATTTTAATTGAAATATGAAGAACATAATATAATATGATATGTATGAATAAAAATAGAAAAAGCAACTCATGTGGACCTCAAGATAAATCTATATGATGAAATCTCAAATATTGAAAAAAAATTATAAAAGAATAAACAAAAAATTGAAATAAAATAGCATGGTGTGCTACCATTGAAACTATAGCCATGGTTTTTAAGCAATAGCTTTTTGTTTTATTGAATCACATAATTAACCACCAATAAATCATCTACATAACAAAAGTCAAATGTTCCAATACTACAAAATAATAAAAAAGCCAAAAAACAAATACATTCTAATATTCATAAATAAAGCAAAAATGATAGAAGTTCAAGGCTAAGAAGAAAAGGCCAACCTCTTGCAGGATATGAACATATTTTGTATGAGTATTACTTCTTATCTAAAAGAACATGGACATGACAACAATCACACAAAGATAGGGGAAATTATCTATTAAAAGTACATACCCATAAATTTTCAGAGACCCTTAGAGCCAAGGGAATGGATGGATCCAATATTTATTCACTGCTTGCTTGCGTAAACCACCATTTGTGTGGAAGAGAGAGGGTGTGTACTACATTTGAGAGAGAGAAGCCACGATTTATAGAAAGAGAGAGAATGGGGAGGGGGATATGAAGAGAGACCCATGGAAACAAAAAGACCAAAATAGAAATATCAAAAGATAAATAAAATTTAAGGGAATAATTTGCATGTAAATGCTTTGAGAGGGATAATGGAAAAAGAAAGAAAGTAAATATAAGAGGTGAAGGAAATAAATGTGGCTATTTATAACTATTGAGGGAGAGAGAGAATTTTGCATGTAAAACCGTAGATAGAGAGAGATTTGCATATCATCAGGAGAGAGAGAGAGAGAATAAATGTTTCATAAATAGAAAGGTTGAGGTAAATAAGGCAAATAACTACTTGTGAGAGAGAAGGTGGAAAACATGATAGGGAAAGAGAAAAAAAAAATTGCATGTAAAACTGTAGGGGCAACCTTTCTATGCTTCCCCTACAGTATACAAGTTCTATCCTCCCCCTTATCCAATCGTCCATTCTAAATGGAGGGTTAAGGTTGCCCCAATCACAATGTCACGTCTCTACACTATTTTATTTTTAATTTTGTTCTATAAATTATTTTGACATCAAATTTTGGGCGTCCATTTTTCTATTAAACTCGCATTAGCGAAATATATATAAAAAATATTTTCAATAAAATAAAATGACCAAAATACCCCTAAAATTTCAAGGGATATTTTGATAATTATATTTTATTGAAAAAATATTTTTAATATTTTTTATAGGTGCGCCTCAATGAGAAGATGGCACGTACCAAATTTCAAATTCATATATTGTGTATAAAAAAAACTAAAAATAAAATACTTTGAGATATCGGATCTAAGATCAAACGGTGAGTGGCTCTCTTGATTAAAATTGGACGGCTGTATGGTAGGGAGAGGATAGAACTTCTATGCTGTAGAAGAAATATAGAAACCTTTTTCAAACCGTAGATAGAAAGAGAGAGATTTGTATATCATAAAGAGAGAGTGGGAGAGAGAATAAATGTTTCATAAATAGAAAAGTTGAGGTGAATAAGACAAATAACTACTTAAAAGAGAGAAGGTGGAGAACATGCAAGGGCAAGAGATAGAGAGAGAATAAATAAAATCGATAAAGAGAAGGGTAATTAATATATCACATTTTTAATGTCTTTGAATGCATATTGGGGGGAAAAAGAGATAGTGGAGAATGTGGGATGGGAAGAGAGAGACCAAATTAAAATAGTCAGAGAAGGGGAGAGTTAAATGTGGTGTTACACGATATTATATATCAGATACCCTTTCTAAAAAAAGTAAAGGTAAAATTGAAATTTTAATGGAGAGAGAGATATTAGGAAATCAAAATAGAAATTTAATAGGATAGGATAGATGGCACGATAATAGAGGGTGCTCCTCTGGCTTAATATATAATAGAAGATAGAAGATAGATATCTCTATGAATTATGGATTAGATATAAGCAGGTTAATATTGAAAGTAAATTAAGAATATTCATTTAATAAAAATTACCATAAAAGTTTTTCACCATTATGTTCCCTTAAAAAAATACAATATATTATTAAAAAATAATCCATCAAAACAACCATACACCTCAAAAAAAATAATCAGAGTTAGGGGAAGAGGAACCCCAAAAAAATCTTTTTTCCCTATAAACACAAAGTATCATTGTAAAGGGCAAGAGAGTCATTCATGACAACTAAAGATTTAGACAGCTACGAATTTAGAGTGACCTTCAAACACTGGCATTTACTTAGGCTTTTTGTTGTTTTATTTCTGCAAACACAAGTTGATTAATTTGGCTTCTACACTTTTTTTTTTTTGTTAATTTCATTAGTATATACAATATAACAATTTAGATGGACAATTATTTTACATTTTTGGAAGTTGTGTTTTAGTTAACTACAATCCCCTTCTTCTTTTTTTTTAATGTTAACTACAATCTTTTACTAAAGATCATTTTTTATTTTTTTTCTTCAAACAATAATCCCATATCTTGGGTTCCGTTCTTGTTGTTCGCTAGTATAATTCTTGTGTTTACTATTGTTATTGTTGTATTATATGCTTCCAGTAAATCTGTCATGTACTTTTGTCGTGAGAACATAATAAGTATTATTGTTGTATTTATCAAAAGTTTACACAAAAATTTGTCAAGTATAACTTTAATGATATTAGGCAAGGACATAAAAATTATAATCCAATACTTTTAAGGTATCCATTCAATAGCTACAATTCACAATCTTATATTGTGTTACCTTTACATATCTGAAATTTTTAATCTGGTTTTTTAAGGAAAATCTGAAATATTCACGATTCTCTAACCTAACTAATTTTCGACAATGTGTTATTTTGATCTGAATTTTTTGAAAAGTATATCATGAGACCATTTATCTTTAGTACATGGTGGTCACAGTTAATCTTGACTATTGGATGTAAAATTAAATGGCTACAGTTATTTCATTGGCCAAGTTCAAACTTAAAAGAAAAATTTCTTGAACTTTGTAATACACTCAAGCTATTAGATTTTACATCAAATGGTTGTAAATAATTGTGACCCTTATAAAAGGTAAATGGTCTCATTGTATATAATATTTCTTTTTTTTTTTTGAAAAATTATCACAAATATACCTTAATTTTCGTCTATTTAATAAAAAACCCTCAATTTCATAAACCTCGCCAACACCCTTTTTCTTCAATTTTGGGTATATGGTATTTTAAGTACCGTAAAAACTAACCCATGTTATACTGTAATACGTAAATCCACTCATGTTATACGGTATTTTAAATACTGTAAAAACTAGGGAAAATTTCGTACAGAACCCTAATTCTCCATTTTATTTCATCGTACCCTCTTCTATTTTTCTTTCAAACGACATAAAAAAATCTTTAAGGATTTCACTGTACCCCCTCATCTCTTATCTTCCACATTTATTCACTTTTGATCATAAACATTAACTCCAACAAAAAAAATTAGAGAGAGAGAAGAGATAAACATAAATAAAACTAGAGAGTTGATGAAGCAAGTAGAGAGAACAGAGAAGATTTGGAGATAAAAAAAAATTAGAGAGAGAGAAAAAAGAGATAAATATTTAAAAAAATTAGAAAGAGAAAGAAGAGATAAATATAAAAGAAAAATATAGAGAAAAAAGAGATAAACATAAAAAAAATAATTAAAAAGATGAAAGGTATATATATTATTTTATTTTTATTTTTTTTCACAACAAAAAGTATATATTATTTTATTTTATTTTTTATTTTTTATTTCACAGCAAAAGATCTCAATAGGTCCAAGCCTTGCCGTGCAGCCCGGTTAAGGCCTTTCCTCTCTGCCTTGGAGTTCTAACTTTGGGAATGGGTCAACCACTCGGTGGTCAGAATGGCTCACTTCCATTTCCGGCCAAGAGGAACAAAGAAAAACGCCTTCCTCTTGGTATTTGCCTATATAAGGCACGGAGACGTCTCTCCATTTCTCTTGCTCCCAGTGCTCCTATAAGCGAGCGCGGCTCTCTCGTTCTTTCCTCTCCATGGCGCCATTTTTGGGCTCTGTACTTCTTCCTGAGAACATTATCCTCCTCACTTCTTCACACATTCTCTCTCCTTCTCTACGCTCTTTCACTTCTCTTCCCCCTCCTCTCCAATTGTTCACAGGAAGCATCACACCAACCGCTTCCCACCCTCTTCGCTGCCGCCGCCCCCGCTTATCATCCCTCCTCGCCAGGAGTGCCAATTTGACTGCCAATTTTGTGGTGACTCTCTCTCTCTCTCTCTCCCTCTCCCTCTCCCTCTCTCTGCTGAGTTATGAAGGAGGTAGCTTTTCTCATTATTTTGCCTACTCTTTTTCTTTGCTGAATTCTGAAAGAGCTGTTATCTTTAATCTTGATTAATTTCTCTCTTTCTGAATACTTAATCTCCCTCTCCATGCTGAATGAGTTGTGGGCCTTTGTTATTTTTTTCTCTTGGTTTTCCTTTGAACTTAGCATATTCCACCTTGCTCTGCTTATAGCTATGCCTTCTGTTCGTAGATTCATAGACTATCATTTTTTTGGGTATAACTTGGCAATTTGTTTTTGTTAGCCTATGTACTTTATTCTGTAGAAGTCTCTGCTTATTGCTTAATTGCAATTTGAGAGAAAATCTTTTCGTGTATTTTTTAAGTTGATTGTTTCCTTGTTCACAGTGCTTTCCAAATATGGAGAATGGTGCAACACACAGCCCTGATTTGAAATTTTAACATGATTGGGTGTGCCTTTGTGGTGTTGTGACACTCCGTCTTGATTCAGAACACGAGTCTGGCACCCTGGTCTGGTTTTTGTATTTTTCCTCCTTATGATTTCAACCTTTTGTGTTCTTTGGTGCTTCTGGATCCATATTGAATGAAACCAAGTTAATATTTGATTTCTTCTGGTGTGGATTTATGCTTTGAGAAAGAAGCGGGCACTTGTTATTGTTTGACTCAATCTTGGTTTCCCCTTTTCCCCAATCACACTATTCTAGTTGTTGATGACTAGTGTAACTTTTTTTGAGGTGAAGATACACGCTGCCTTCGCTATTCGCATTGGTTGTTTGTTGGTTAGACTTATTGTGTCATTATTTATTATTCATAGTAAGTAGCATGATAAGACAAACTTATTATGGATGTGCCATGATCACGCAATCCTACCCTGCGATAACCATATGAACAGGTCTATTGCCGAGGAGATGGCAGTAATGAAGTAGCTATTTGTTGTAACAAATTGCTTTGGTTTGTTGAACCCCGATGGACTTTAAATCTAAATGACAGTATGCATCATAAAAAATGACTAGCCCTGTTAGTTTAAGCTTTGAACAATGATGTATCCATTTCTCATCAAATATGAGTGCCTAGAGCTATGTGAACCAGATGAGTGATTCTTTTTAGGCATAACCTCTCATTTGTGTACATCAGAGAAAAATTTAAAACTGAAGTCAAATAGGAGATGAGATCTTTGCACTTGGAAATTGATATTCTATGTACTGAAATTGTTATTCTTTAGATCAGGTCAGACCTCCAGATCTCCTTTTCTCACATGTGAAGAACCTTCCAAAACTTGTGTAGTCTCAAAAGGTTAGGTCTTTACAAGAATCAATAAAAACAAAAAAAGAAAAACTACTTTGATTCTGAATTCAAAATCCAATATGTCACAATTTGGGTGTCAAAATACTTTTAAAAATGCAGATGGAAAGCCGTATGGTTTTGTCTTGTTGTGCCCAAATCATTTTGCGCACCACCAAGCTCTCAAGTTTGACTAAGCGGTCTATATGAACAATTCAACCTGTGTAGAGCACCGAACACTATAAAGACCACATCCATTGACACCTCCTTCCTTCGTATTATCAATTTATTATATTCACTTACAACCATCTCATTGCCAATATCATTTTAGTTGTCTAAGGTTTCGATAGCTAGAATCCCATGACAAAGTGCTGCATGAACTGACTTAATTAATTAGAGAGGGCCTAATTCCTCATATGCATGACTTACATGGCTACTGGCTACAGTCACTAAAGTACCAGTACAAGACAAATGCAACATGAATTAAAGGGTGAAGCTTGTCTAAGGTGCACACCTTATACTCTACAAGTAAGGCACACCTTTAAATTTTGTTGGAGAACATAATTTCGGTGTCAGAAATCTTGCGATGGCTTGAAAACCATATTTAACCATAATAATGTAATTTAAAATTTCAAAAATGTTGTAGATCGAGCAGATCTATAAACACTAGGAAAATATTGAAAATAGACAGTCTAGATTTGTTACAAGATGCATTGTTTTTAGGAGTTGAAATTCTTTTTTTTTTTTTATATCCATACATCTCAAGATCGAGATGATCAATTAGAAGGTTTTCAAACTTTGGAATACTCTTTTCTACTAGATTTTTGAGGTGCACCTTACTTTTATTGTATAAGGTTGCAACCTTATATAAACATGTTCCTAAGTTAAAAATCTTCCCCTGCTTGCACTTTAGAGATATCTAAACACGATATCCTAGACTTGAGACTAATTGCTTACTCTAGATGATCTTGTAAATTTATGTGTTTTACAGTGTGGCATATGGTTTGGTTTTTATGAATCATATGCAATTTTCTTTTTGTAAATGTGCGAAAAGATTCAATATAAAGTTTGCATATATTCTGTACTTCATGGATTATCTGGTTTTTTCCTTCATCATGACTACTTTTTTATGGAAATGAGTTCTTTTATGCATTAAATTCCTTTATGCTGTCATTCTATCCCTGATGTGGTAATTGTTGCAGCCAAAGAATGGTGTCTATACAGTTGGAGAGTTCATGACTAGGAAAGAGGATATGCATGTTGTTAAACCAACTACTACAGTTGACGAGGGTATCACAAATTGCTTATTTTCTCATTCATGTTGCATCCACTTAAGGTGTTTATTTGTCATTTTCTTAATTCTACCTTTGTATTTGTCTTGGTATCAACAGCATTAGAAGCTCTTGTGGAAAACAGAATTACTGGTTTTCCTGTGATTGATGATGACTGGAAATTGGTAAGATGATACTACCATTATGTGGGAATCTCTTTATGCAAGTGGTTAATATGTTTTTATAAGTACGTTTTTTTTTTTGGAAAATTTCGTATAGAACTCTAATTCCTCATATTATTTTATAGTAGACCTTCATTCCGTTTTTATTACAAGCGGGATAAGGAAACCCCTAAAGATTTCACCGTACCCCCTCATCTCTTATCTCCCTCTTTTATTGACTTTTGACCATAAAAATTAGCCCCAACAAATCTTTTTATGCCATTTTAACCCAAAAACGTTTTTAACACTCTTTTC